CAAGTAAAAAATCCTGAAGTATCCGCAAAAATGTTAAAATTAAAGTTCTTCAGTAAAGTTTCATAACTCAGGACCAATATGAAAGACCTGAATTGCTTTTCTTTATCATAAAAACCTGGATACCTGAAGATTAATTGAAAACTACACAAATTTGAGTGATACGCTTAATAAAATAATTACAATACTTGTATTTTAAACACAGACAACATAATTTTGAAAAAAATAGAAGACCCAAACAAATTGAAAGATCTGAGACATGGGCTAGAAAGCCATGATGAGATGGTGGAACCCCGCAAATAACCAGTGTTGGCAAAATTCTACCAATTGCTGTGTGTGCTTCTTCCGTGGGGAAGTTAATTCTCAAATTTATACAAAATGCAAAGAAAAGAGAAGAGATAAAATATCCTCAAAAGGAAGAACCCCTCTGACGGACTCCCATCTTCTGTTTCGGAACTTATTTGAGTTTGCTGTACCCCCGTTTTGGAATGTGGAATGAAAGTCTGTTGAAGAGAAAGGTTCTATAGACCTACAGTGCTGAACAGCAGAGAGCTGAGACTCCCCAAGTAAATCCTGCAGTTATGGTCAATTGGTTCTGAACAAAGATTCCAAGAAAATTCATTGAAAAGGGAACCTTATGTTTTTCCAAAAATAAATAAATAAATAAATAAATAAATAAATAATAAAAAGATACTGAAAACTCTGGATATCCACATGCAAAATACTTATGTGTGATGCCTACATCTCATGACATTAAAAAAAAATATGATGTATACTGAAATGTAGAAAGGATGTTATGAAATTCCCAAAATAAGATGTCAGCTTATGTTTTTGTGACCTTGGATGAAGTGATGATTTCTGGAATATATATCCAAAGCAAAAGTGAGAAGAGAAAAAAATGCATCTTTTTTCAAAATTAAATTATTTATGTTTCATCAGACGCCAGGTAGAAAGTGAAAGATAACTCATGATTTATGAGTAAATATTGAAAACTCATAGGTACTATTTAACAAACAATTTGTGTCTGAAATGAAAGATTCATGTTTCAATAATTAAATGACAACAGCACAGTTAAAAAAAATGGAGAAAGAATCTGAACAGATGCTTCTCCAGAGAAGATATAGAAACGAACAATAACCTCATGAAAATACTCAAAGTCATTGCCTATTAGAGAAAACCAAACCACAGTATCAATCCACAGCTCCTAAGAGGGTTATAGCTGATTCTCTGCTCCAAAAGTCAGGCAGTGATGAGAAATGTTGAAAGATGTGGAGAAGTTAAAACCTTTGTACCTTCCTAGTGAGAATGTGAGATTTGCATCTACTTGTTAAAATATTTTGGCAATTCTACGAAAAATTTAGAACAGAATGACTCTGCATACTTGTGTTCCCACAACTGAACAGCAAGTTAAAAACATACTCCCACACAAATACATGGACAGGCATGAACATTTCAGGATCATTACTGCTACCCAAAAGTGGGAATACCCTAAATGACGGTCAATAAAATGATAATCAAAACATGGTATACCTGTAGGATGGATTATTTTTCCAACAATGAAACAAAATGAAGGCCCAAGAAATGTTACAAGGTGAAGGGATCTCACAAAGGTTACAGTCAGCGGAAGAAGCCATTCACCAAATCCCAGGCAGCCTTGCTTCCACAGGCGTGAATGTGCAGAAGAGGCAAGTTCACAGAGAGGTAAGTGGTCCCTGTGGGAGGCAGCCAGGAAAGGTGACCAAAGGACAGTGGGCAAAGGATTCTGGGCTTCTTCCTGGGTTGCAAACTCTTCCAGTATTGGATATTAGTGAGGACTCCAAAAATTCCTAAACATACCCCAAAAACATTTTGTACATATTTTACAAGTTTTGTTTCCTCTTTTGGTCCTTCTGAGTATTGAGTCAGGGTCTTCATATTAAGCTGTATCACCAGCCACTGTTTATGTTTTTATTCCAAGACCAGGCCTTCCATGTCACCCAGCCTGGGTTTGAACTCCCAGTACCTCTGCCTTAGCCTCCCGGAGGGTCAGCGTAACAGGCATGGCCACCATGTCCAGGTTGTTGTACACCTTGAAAGGGCACATTTAAGATAGCTATGCAGCTGGTCTCTCAGTTGTTTAAAAAGTGGGACAATGGAACCGAACTGACAGTGTATTACCGAGTTCTATTACACAGATCTGTGTCAAAATTCTAAGCCTTAGGTTTCCTAAGCAGCAAGAAGAGTATCAGTAATCAAAGTACAAGCAACATCAAATTTATTTTTCAAAGTACTCAACAAGCATCTTTCAGAAATAAATACAGTTCAGGTTTTTTTAAAATTCATTTCAATACATTCTTTCATTTTCATCAACCAGATCTTTAAATCTGGAAGGATTTCAAGAACAAATAAAGCCTTACTTCCCGAGGTTTCAGGAAGGGTGGACAGGAAGCTTAATAACTTAGTGGTCCCCTGACCAGCAGAGTAATACCCACCTGCCAAACTGACCAAAAATCTCTCTGTCTTCCAAAAACTTGAGGTGAAAATAAAAGTCAATTTAGTATCCTAGGGGCATAGAAAAGCTGACAGTATTGATAAGTTATTGCTCCCACTGGAGAGATCCCTTTTTCATCCACATTGCTGTCCAGGAAGTTTTGATTTGTGATTCACTGAAAAAGCTTTTTAATTCTAATGAGCTGATTTCAATCTACCATTTCCAGTGCAACCCATGGTGAGAATAAAGACACTAAGACGTATTTATAATTATTGGTGGCCAAGGGGTCCCGAGACTGGACATGATTAAGGCTCATCAGAACAAAGGCCTTGACCCAGGGCCTAACCAGATGTTATTTATTAGTCAAAAAAGGAGTTGCTTGCGGATGCGTGACTGTGAGAATGGTGGGAGACAGGAGTCCTGTGCGCAGGGCTAGGAAGGAGACCTGAGATCACTCTGCAGCCTGCAGAGAGAAAGAAATGCAGAAAGAGCAATCTCATAGCACAGCTGAGGAAGCAGTTAATGTTAGGGGTCAGAGCTTCAGCTCTGATGGGAAACCCATTTACGCCCTAGGAAGTCACAGCTGCTTATCCCAAAGCCCAAACCCAGTGGACATCCCTGGTGGTGGCTCTGCCTCCTGCTGGGCTCACTCGTGCTTAGGGAGACACTGGGACAGAGAAACGGTGACTGTCCACTGTCCTTGAGTTTCAAAGATCACACAGCAGCACCTCCACCAGCCCTGTTTACACGGCTTAGAGCCCATTGAAGGGAAGAGGAAATGGCCCAGCCTGCTCTGTACACATCAGTACCTAGAGATGGGGCCAGGCTTAGCCAGAGTGGGGGTAACTGCTCTTTGTTCAATGGAAGAAGTCCAGGTGGTCCTCCATACTTACTGCGAGAGACAACAGGAAAATTTTGGCTTTCCTACAGTGTAGTAATGCCAATATAATACTAACAACTTTGGGCAAAATTTGTTTTATTTTCCTATACCAGAATTTCATTTTTGATTATATTCCTTTTTGTTGTTTTGTTTCTCCTTCTAATACAGAAAGGATAAGTATACATATAGAGACTCATGCATGCGTAGAACTTCTAAACAGTTGATGAGAATCGGTAATATAATGCACAATGAAATGAACAGATACTTTGAAGTAAAAGAGACACTAAGGTACCCAGTGCTGATCCCGTAGTGTCTTGCTGTGAAATCCAGCAATATTATTATTCTTTGTTCAGAGTGATTTTAGTCAGTTTTGTTTTGTTTAATTTCAACATACGTGAAGGTATGGACAATTATTTTGAAGAGAATGAGAGACATTATGGCAGCCATTGTTGACTTCCCTATTTTCTGGTCTTGAAGACCTAAAATGCCTTCATCATCCTGTTCTGATCAGTTTTATACTACTTTGTTTTGTGTGAATTCATTGTGTGTGAAGATATAGACAGCTATTTGGAAGTAAACAAGAGACAATGTGATAGACAGTGAAGATCTCCGGTTGTCCTGCTTTGAAATCTGTGTCTCTTACATTGTTTCCTTATGATCTGTTTACCCTCTTTTCTGTTTAATGTTACTCTCTTTAAAATAAAATTAAAAAATAGTTGTCAACTTCAAAAGATACAGCTCTTCATAGTCTACCACTCAATATTTGGCCAAAAGATGTGTCTGGTGCCTTGCATACATAATATGAGCTTTTCCTGCTTATCTTTCATTTGCACATCACAGATAGGCATTTTCTAAGCTGTGAACTATTTCATGAGTGTGCAGTGTGATACATACCTTCATGAAAAGGATATTGAGGGGAGAGTGGTAAGTTTCCTTGCAGTTACGCGTCTTTTACTGTGTGCAGAAGTTTGATGAGGATGATTTTTTAGAATCAATCTTTAGGGAAAATCATCATGATCACAGTAGGGACATATAAATTATATTTACTGATTTTAGTTCATTAACGCTTGCGTATTTACACACTTTCATTGGCAGAGTATTTTACATGAGAAAATGAAATGATATGCTGTGGTTAGCATATAGCTTCGTGGTAAATCTATTTTCCACAGGATACTCACGTGTATTCATGGCGTTTACACTGCAATGGAACTATGATGCTGGTATGGGATTAACTTGTCTAACTAGCGTAACAAACAAAAGGGTTACCACTTATCTAAGATTGTGCCTTGACTGTTGTTCCTGTTGCCAGTGGTTGACTGGGGTCCAAACTTTATGGTACTTCATGGTAACAGAAAGGTGGGTTCAGTGAGTGAGCCAGAGAGGGGAGAAAAAGAGAAGAAGAGAGAGGTGGGGGAGAACAGAGACCACACACATGTAGCATTTATGATGATATTGTTGCAATTCTTGTATTTTATTGTTGATTATTGTTAATCACTTACTGCATGTGGTTTATCAGTTAAACTTTATCAGGGGTATCTCTAGGAGAAACTGTAAGGTTCAGGACTCTCTCTAGTTTGGGGCAAGTCTTGGGGACATTAGGCTGCACCCCGAAGCTGTGCGGCCACCGTGCCCATTTCACTGTTTTTCTCACAGGCTGAAGCTCGCTCTGCCACAGCTGTACGCTTGTTTCTCACAGAGGCTCGTACGTACAAACACACCCGCGCCAAGATTCCATTGCTCCTCAGATGTTGTGCTCCTCCCAGAGTCCATTTCATATTTGGCAGCTGCTGTGAGTACACTGAATCTCAGTCGCTCCCTCTTGAACCTCATCTGATATTTCTCACCATCTGGCCAAGTAATTGTATTAATTAATACATGGTTCTGACTGCCAGAATTCATCAAGTTCCCTGCTTCTGAGATGGAAATGCTCATTATGCTATGAAATTCCCTTAGAGAAATATATCTGAGAAGCTATCGCAGTACACCCTTTTCAGCAGTGACTACAGAATCTACTTTGGTTTGCATATTTTTAACATGATGAATGATATAAGGACTAAAATTTATTTATGATGGTTTATTGAATTTCTTGGGTGATTAACTCAGTCAGTCCTAAGTTCTGTGATTCAGAGTGGCATTAAAGTGCTGATATGCATCTGCAAGCTGACTGTCTCTCTGCAACATATAATTATCACTGAAAAGAAGCCCCGCATGAGGAGTCACAGCTTCCGCTTCCACTGTGTAAGGTTATTCACCATTCTCCAGCTGCCCTTGATAATCCAGTAGAAAGAAGGAAGCGTACTGGTACTGGCAACGGAGAATTTGATCCTATCGATAAGCTTTCTTTTTCATGCCCTTTCCATGTGTGGAACACCTAGTTTCTATTTAGTATTGCTTTTAGGGCACATCAAGACCAAAATTCTTTAATATGACTGTCTAGAGGTGAAACAGGGCGCAAGTGAATTTAAATTTGTAAATACAAAAAAAAAAAAAAAAAAAAAAAAAAACTATTTTGGAGTTTGGATGACTTTCTTTTGTTTGTTCATTTTTTAGAAATTTTGTTTTGCTTTTGGTACCAGGGATCAAACTCGCAAACCCCCTGTTTACCAAGCAACCACTTGAGTCACTGAGCTAAATTCCCAGCTCCAAGTTTGGATGTTATCATTATATTAAATAAAACTATATTTTAGCCATTGCATGATACTTTGTTAGAATTACAATACACTCATGTTGACATTAAGTATGCTTCAGCAGCAGTCAGCAGAGACAAGGGGGATGTGAGGATGGGGAGGCGGTGAGGATGGGGAGAGTAGTGATTGATCTGAAAGGGAATCATCTCTGGTGCTCTATGGCAGAGCTTGGGAGGTAGAATTAACAGTGATGAAATGTGTATCTCAGAATAGAAGAGGAGTTCAAATGCACTCACAATAAAAGAGCGATCAGACAGGAAGATGGAAGTCCCGCTGATCCCCGTGATCTGCCTGCTCTCTGATGGACACATGAATGAAATAGCCTGCTGTACCGCACAAATGTGGGTAAACACCAGGTATTTACCAAGGACACAGCCAGTTTTGCAAAGGTAGATTTGAGTTACAGAAATTAATATTTTAAATTTAATTTACGTTCACACATCTGTGAACCAGTAGATCCTCGAAGAGTGCGTAGATTTTTAAATTTAATATTTTTTTTGTTATTGTTTTCGTTCTTACTCCTACTCTCTTCTTTTCTTGTCATTTCTTTCCTTCCCCCCCTTGCCTTCCCTGACCCCCTTCTGGTTTGAATATTTCCTTCCTACTTGTTCATAGGTTTGTGTATTGTTTACACCTTGTGACTATTTGATATTTCTCCTCTGACAATTTGCACATGTGCATTTATTTGAGGCTTTGTTTTCAGTTTTTTCGTGTATATATGAAGCATAGGATTCCTGCACTGTAGGGAAATTTTCTATCTCATTCCCTGAAGAACAGCTGCCTTTTTCCATTGAAAACAAACCTTTTTACCTTGCAACCAGCAAGAATGAGATACAAAGATCCCAATCCTCCATGTTTCACCAACACTGTAAGACTTCAGAGTATTACTGGTTTTCAGTGTCGCCATCCCAGTAAAAATGAAATGGCATCTCTCTTGTTTTGATTGTATTTCCATAATAAGTGGCGATACTAACCACCTTTGTTGGCTATTTGTGTATTTTCTGTAGAGATACAGTTTAGTATTTTTAAAGGCAGCTGAAGATGGCCGAAACCAATTTTGTGTTAATCTGGCTTATTTTGTATGATAAGCACAATTCCAAATGTCTATACTGTGACACCAAAATGTTTTAATGAATTAAAACTGTTATAGTAACCTGGGACAAGAATATTGTGTTGGTTAAGCTGAATTGTGTGTAGAAATAGGGAAAAATAGAGCAATTAATCAGCCAACATTTTATAGCACATAGTTTGGGTCCGGATTATTATTGCAAGGTGTATCACACAAAGATGAGCATGACACAAACATAATGAAAGATTCTAGAAAAAGTACACAAAGTCATTTTTTATAATGAAAAAACCCAATAAATTCAATGCCTCAAATAAGCTTCTGACAGTCTTAAGGGAAATTAGTCCCTGTGTAAGTTTAGGTTATAGAGGAAAGTGAAGGTATATATATATATATATATATATATATATATATCCTGTAATGGACACACCCTGTAATGATTGACATCACAGTTTGACTTTTGACTTTCTACTTGTTATTCCTGATTACATTAAAATTAAGATTCCTACATTAATTTAAGAGAAAATGGCTGTGGGTCAGAAGTGTATGTAACAGGAAATAGAAAAGAAACGTTGACAACTATGAATTCTTAGCATGTGAAATTGACTAGAGGCAAATAGCTACTTCTTTGAAAAGCTCACTGTGTTTTATTTTAGCAGCTCAGACTTTAGCAACTCAGACTTTCAAAGAATGGAATGGTGAGCCTTGAACAAGAAGTTTTGGGTTTACCGATGACCCTGGGGTCTGAAATCCACGTGTGGATGCCCTTTCCAGATGCAGCCAAGGTAACAATGGAAACAGGGACAAATCCAAAGTGGAGCCACAGAAAATGAAGCCAAAATTAATGGAGAAATAAGAAGTTTCCAAGACAAGGAAGAACTGTGGGAGTTCTTGGCCACCAATCCAACCCTACAAAAAATACTAAAGAACATTCTAGAGAGAGAGAAAAAAATGCCAGGATTCCAGCAACAGTGACAGAGAGGCCTCAATGAACAAGGAGGACAGTGGAATGAAGGAGACAAATGGGCAAGTAATAGCAGAAAAATAGAATAGCAGAGATGAGGCAGAGAAGGTGGGCTATAATCTCTAATATAGATAGCCTTGATATATCAACAAAAAGAAACACAGGCAGAGTAGATTAGCAGGCAGGATCCATTGAGATGTTCTGAATAGGAAATATACTCAACCTGAAAGAGGGTTAATAAACTAAAAGTCAAAAATGAGAAAACGATGCTTTATGTAACAGGGAACCAGGGAGAAATAGGGACAACTCGTCCAGCAGCCGCAGATAGGTTGGAAAGTTATGACACTTGTGCAGTGTAGAACTACACAGCTAGAAAGAAGGAAAACCTTGTGGCTTTAGTAAGTTAAGGAGTACAGCTCAAGATTCAGCTCAGGGGTAAAAAGGTTCAGCACCACTCAGATAACGAGATGCCCCCCTAATCTAAAAATTAAAGGAGGTGGGGGGACCCAAAATATACAAAGCATCCTGAGAAAGGGAAAGTTGAGGAATTGCCTAATAAAGGAAGGCAGAGGACATTGTTGATAGTGTATCAGGATTTAAAAGCCACAGTAGTTTTATCGCTCTGATTAGTTTGATTTTATTTTGTTCCAGTCTGTTTATTCATACTAGATTTGAGGGCACAGATAGCTATCACAAAAATAGCAGGCTATACCATGGTAACTATCCTTAATTTCCTATTAACTTAAACTGAACCCCTGTATTACTTACATTGTCTTTCCATGACTGATCTTATTTGAAGCTGGTTTGTCAGACTACTGTTTTGCCTTGACTGATTTTATTTGAACTTGGTATGCTTGATAGTATCAAGTCTAAGAGTAGAGGCAATTACCCTGAAGATGACAAGATGTAATAAGAGACCCATTCCAGTTTATTAACTGCTTTTGAAGTCCTACAATGTCTCCAAAGTTGTGTTTTTATTAAAACAGCTATGCAATGCTATGTTCAATTATATCATGCCTGATGATGTGGACAATTCTATTGAAAATAACAAGAGAAAGCATAGTAACTACTGTAGATCGCCTAATATTGTGGTTTTATATGTCTTTTTCATTTCATGTTTTTCTAGGAGTTTGTTTTGTTGTCTTGTTTTTATCTGTTTTTCCCTGTAATACAGAAAGGCTAGATATACATGTAGAGACTCATACATGGGGAGAATTTCTAAACAGTTTATGGAAACAGATTATATAATGCACGATGTAATGAACAGATACTCTGAAGAAGAGACACTAAGATACCCAGTGCTAATTCTGTAGCATTTATGATATAAAATCTAGCAATACTATTATTCACTGTTCAGAGTGATATTAGTCTTGTCTCATGTTCAATTTAAGCATATGTAAAAATAAGGACAGCTACTTCGAAGAGAATGAGGGACATTATGGCAGTCATCATTGACTTCCCCAATGTCAGGTCTTGAAGACCTAAAATGCCTTCATCATCCCGTTATGATTAGATTAGTTCTATAATGTTCAGTATGTATTCAGTGTGTGTGAAGATGGGCACAACTATTTGGAAGAAAACTAGAGACAAGAACATAGACAGTGAAGATCTCCATGCACTTGCTTTGAAATCTGTGTTTCTTAAAATTGTTTCCTTATGATCTGTTTTGTTATGTTTAATCTTATCCTCTTTAAAAGAAAAAAAAAAAAGAAAAGAAAATGAAGGCAAAGGAAATGTCCCTAAAGTAAGAAATCTGGCATAGTTTATACCCTCTTCACTTAAAAGGTAAATGGACCTTGAATGACTTTTTCTAGGGAAATTTCAGAATTCCTAGTCTTTTGCTTTTCTAATCTTGCTTATTGTGGGCTGGGATGAGGTAAGAGATTTCAGAAAACTCTTAGTTTCTTTAAAGAATTGAAACCATTATCTTCACATCCCTCAAAGTCTTGTTGTGTGCACAGATTACATTAACCTTTCAAAGCGACCCTTTCTCTGGGTAGGGTTTCTCTCTAATGATTTGAGTGTCAACAACTTCTTTGATAGGCTTCTCTTCAAAAGGTGGAGCTTAATTCTCTTCCTTTTGAGACCTGGCTAGACTTTGTGATTTACTTCTGGCAAACAGTTTTTGGGGAGTGATGGATGCTGTTCCTAAACTTGGTCACAGCAGGGATTGTGTCTCCTTGTTTCCCACTTCCTCAGTGAGGGCACTTGCACAGCCCTGGAGAAGTCCGGCTGGAAGGGCTGGGAGTCTTCTGTGTGTGCCTCACAGGGTGAAGGTCTTCGGGGATCATCCTGAAGGCAGCCCTGGAAAAGCATCCTGAAACTGTCCCCACTACAGACCCAGAATCAGACTTCCCCAAACTCCTCCCGGACTTCTGGAGCTGGGGCACTAAGATGACAACTGTCTATTACTTTACACTGCTAGATTTGGGAATAATTTGTTACCAGAAAGTTAGCACAGATTTCATGTACTCTGTTTAGGAAGAAATGAACAAAAATATTTACCTACATGATAAAGGTTTTATCAATCACTGACACACTGACACACCACTCACTCTGCCCAGAACTGAAATGCATTACATACATGCACAGAGAACATACGTTCTCTGCAGTGAATGTGACCATCATGAACTGCAAAATGTCAGCTTTCCTCAGAAGGAACTAACTGATTCCAAAGAGAAGCATAAAGGCATGAGTATGAGCTTCTCAACTAACCTTCTGCTATGGTCATTCCAGATGCCACACGTTCCAGGAGAAGGAAGTGGGCAAGATCACTGTGCGACTCCTCAGCCAAGCTCTGGACCTGGCTTGGACTCGGAATGAGGAATATCCGCTAGTTCCCCTTGGGCAATGTGCGGATTAAGCCCAGGAGAGCTCTTCCTTCTTGTCACAAGAGCCCATGGGCTCTACCCTGCAGCACAGCTGCCTCACTCAGGAGAGAGTGGAGGCTTTGCCAAACGGATCTGGGAACAGGAAATCAGTCCCAGGCGGGCAGCATCGCCACTGCTACACACCTGGCGTCCTGTCACCGAGTTGTCCTTCTCTCTGGGAGTCAGCTTGAAGGTCAGTCGTCAAAGCAAAGGACACTACTTGAGTTACATTAAAGGAGGAAGAGCCCCCTTGGTGGGACACCTCTCCTCACTGGCCTGGGCTCACTCATGACTCAAGGTCTCCTGGAAATAGCCAGAAATATGGGATTTATGATCAGATTGACCCAACCAAAAAGCAAAGGTTTACAGGCACATTTACTCTCAGACTGTTTTCTACAATTCACCCCAAGCTTTGGCTCCATTCTGGCCTGGCAGCAAATCACAGCAGCGGAGGAAAGCCTGGCCTGTGGGGCCCACGCACTGGAGTGTAGCTCAGTGCTCCTCCTGCAGGAAGCCCACCTGAAGGTGGAGCCTACAGGGATCACCTCCAGGATGAGAGTTTTTCGTATGCCACAGTGATGCTGCTGTCCTTATGGATCACATGAAAGAAAAAAAACTTTGTTTTTGAGCTCTTGAAGAGTAGGAGTTGCTTCCCACAGTTCACATTAAAAGGAGCACTTTTTCGGAGGGTGGTGATTGGGTGTTAAGACTCTTATTCTAAGCACCCATGGGACGCCTCCTAGTAGCTCTGGGGAGGTGGACAGCGGTCCTGCATGTGAGGGACGGGTGTGGGGAAGAAGCCCAGGCAGGCGGCCAGGTCTGCAGTGACAGCCAGGCTGTCTCCCAGGGAGAAAGCGTGAAGCACACAGCTCGTCCCCTCTCCTTCCTAGCCTGCATCACTCACGGCTCCTTCACACAAGGTGTTTCACTTCCGTTTATGGGCAGCCATGGGGCACTTGACTTTCTGCACATGGCCTATTCTACTTAAATGAACGTTCACCGTCTCCAGCCATTTTGGTGGTTTTGCATATGAACCAAGTTATTCTGTGCCCAGTAAACACACATTAAAATAGCACAGCTCACCCTAAAATGGGCATCTGTACTGGATGGTAATTAAAAGTTTAAAAACTTAAAAGTAAATCAAGATGTTGCACGTATATTTTCCTTGTGTAGTTCAGACCTACCTGGAATTTTATGCGTACAGTTATTCTGGGATACTGATATTTCTAGATGTATTCTTCAAACTGATGCATAATTTTAACCGATGTTAGTCATCAAGTAAGTTGTCACCATTGATTCGAATGTGTTTTCATGAGAAGAAAAGAACAACGAAGGGAGGGAGGAGGAAAAAAAACAATAGAAGAAAGGAGGAAGAAAGAAAGAAAGGGAAAGACAGAAGGAGGAAGAAAAAAAAAAAAACGAATCCACAATTCCACCTATTTAATTCCTTTAATGTAGTTTGTTGATGGTAATAAAAAGAAACAAAAACTCATCTATCAAACACAAAACTTCTTAACAAAATAGAGAATGACAGTGGCTACTGTGGTGTGTCACAGTGCCCCCCTTTTGTGGAGGATGCTTGTGGGGACCCCGGGCCCCTTCTGCACCCCGGTTTCCACCATGTAGGAGGAATGGTGGCGGGCAGAGGGACGCGGGGACTCGGCTCCACTGTCTGGGCTGACTGTTGACCGCTACCACTGACCACTGACCACTGACCACGGGCCGCGGCCTCTGCACTGGCTGCCGCTCTGAAGCGAGGCATCAGTGCACCTGCGAGCGGCTCCCCAGGACTGGAGCCCACATTCCCCCTCGAACCCATGTCCACTCGCTCTGGGAAGAAGGAACCGAGGAGCAGGAGCCAGGCGCTCTCTGACCGCTCCTCACAGCTGCTGGAAAACCGCGGGGCTTCACTCTACCCAAGGCCTCAGCAGAGCCAGCGCACCCCCGGGGAGCAAGAGCACCCCCTGACGCCTGCGGTGCGCAGAGCGTAGAAGGAGAGGCTGTGTCCTGCGCCCGGAGCAAAGCCCAGACAGCTGGACCAACTTCCCCGGGTCCCTAGTCCACGAGGGCCCTCACGCTGAGGAAGCGGAAATGAAAACGAAGCACATGCTATAGGAAACAGCTTGAGTAGGGAAACAGATGATAGGAAAGCTGGGGGCTTCTGCACTTGCAGGGGCTCAGGGTCTACGGAAGAGGCCGCTTTGAGGGGCTGGGGGTTGGTCCTTACAGCGCCTGTGCCAACACTCTGGGGAGTCCTGGTGGCCGAGGAGGGCTCCGGTCCCAGGAACGGATCCCGTGTGGGTGTGTGCTCATGTGTGTGCGCACACATGTATGTGTGTGTACGCGTGTGCGTGTATGCGTGTGTGTGTGTGTGCGCGCGCGCACGTGTGGAGGCATGGGGTCAGGCCATCTTCCCTGCAATCCAGGTGATCCCAGGCTCGGGATGGGGCCTCGAGCTCCACGGCCCTGTGCACCTCTCATCTTGGGGTCCTCAGTCCCGAAGGAGATGACGCCCTGTAAATGCAGGACATGGACCCTGTTCAGCCAGGTCCTGGATGGACAAGGGATCCAATGACGAGCACGGCCCTGCATGGGCCGAGGAGAGCTCTGACCCAGGTTTACAATAAGAAGGACAGGAACTGAGGTCCAGCTTTGCTCTGCTTTAGTTATTCTTGGGCACCTGTGGCCCCAGTGAGGTCACAGCCTTTCAGCCCACCCCTTCAGTGACTTCTCCAGAGGCAGGAGTCCAGTGCCGAGCTGAGAGGTGTTAGACATTTCTATCTAGCATTTCTCTCGTGTTTAGGAAATGCAAATAAACGTTTTAAAAAATAATATTTGTGGATCACTCTCTTGGTCACAAATTTCATCCAGAGACATATCTTTAACCTAAATACTAACTAGTGCAATTTGTTCTGTGGATTATACCAAGCACTCTGGCATGCGATAAGGTTTGGGATAAAATTAAAAACAAAAGGAACTGAAGAATGAAGCCTCAGCTCCTTTATTGGTACCAATTTATAAACATGAGTGTAAAGCAAAGTCATCAGTGGAACTGCTCTGTGGTATTAAACAGGGAAAACAAATCAAAAGCTCTCTGAGGATAATACACTCCATGGACAGAGAAGGGGGAAATGTGTAATAAGAACAAATCCTCATGATAAAAAGACAAAACATTTATCTTACATCTTTTTGAATAACTTTGCTGCCTGGTTTTAATGGTTTCCATTACTAACCCAATGATAGTCTCCTAGAGAAGCACGGCCTAGTGCTGTCCTGGGAAAATGCAGGTAGCTCGTGGTCTGTGACCTGACCTAAGTAACTCACGCACTCTTCCAGAATCGCAGACTAAGAGAGCACATGCAGCCCGTCAGGAAAGAGCAGAGAGCGGTGTATGAGGCAATGGTCCTCGTTATAGATGACAGTAGTTACCAGTGTAGCAAGGGGAACATGGTCAGGTCTTCAGCTCTGGGCTCCCCATACATGGGGATGAGAATTCCTTAGAGAACAAAGGACACCTTCCATCTCTCCCTGTGCACTTGTCTCCCCAAACAATCCATCCAATCAATCACTGAGCCACTGGACACAAGGGCCCCAAACTGGCCTTCACTAAGTACTTACCTTAGGAGAGCCATCATCAAACCCAGCAGAATGCCAAGCATTTCCCACTTCCTCCCCGACTGCCCTGAGGATCCGCCCTGTTCATGCATGGCAGCCAAGGGACCCTTCTTGGGCTTTCCTTTGTTCCTTCCAGAAAGCACACGCTTGCTGTATTGGGTTGGATAATGAGCTCAGAATGTGTGGTTAATCAATGGCTCTCTGTGAAACTCTTAATCTTGCTGAAAATATTTCTAGTTAAATTCCAAGAAATGCTCTTTGTTGAACGTGGATATTAATGGAGAAGGAGAAGTAATTGACCCACATGTCCTCAAGGGAGGTAATTGAATAGAAGACATCTGACTCTGCAGGACGGATTCATTCATCAAAGGCATGATTCACATGCAGAGGTAGAATACTCTGTTTCTGCAGAGGAAGTGGTTCTGAATGGATTATGAAGGAATCCTGCCCCAAACTTCTCTTCTTTCTTCAGGTCCGGCTGACCAGCTCCAAGCCCCTGTCATCCATGAAGTGTCCCACTCCAGGAATCGTGTTCCATTCTGGATGAATTTGGGCACATGGTGGGTAAAATCCCTATTTGCGATGCCCTGAGAGCCTTTCCCTGAATCAGACTGCAACAACCTTCCTCTCCATCTCCATGACAACCGTCCTAGGAGATTTAGTTGATGGACACTGTCCATTGTACTTCGAGTGCCGTACATGCATCATGTCATGGACAGCAATCTAGAGCTGGTACCATTACTGATCTCACCCTGACCATCTCAGACTGGGAAATAGTCCCAGGATATGACCCCAGAAAGAGCCATTTCCCCGGGAGACCCATTGCTCCTCTGCCTGATGTCCTTAGACAGATGGTTCTTTCCTTTCTGTTAAGCCTTCAGGTTTCTCGACATTTCCTTTATATTCATTATGTCACTGGTACTTACTTACGTTCAGATACAGCTTTTGTTACTGTCCTCAAATTTTAGCTCTCTCTCTAGTGGTCTTCGAAACCAGACATACAAAGAACCACACAACCTTAGCAAGAGTGTTTTCTAACTAAACAGTGTTCTTCAAATGCACTCCTACCCTATGTTTTAGAAAGTTCAGGAGGGTGTTAGCTCCTCACTTCTGGAGAGTTTCCCTCTGTGACCTGAAGGTGACTGGGGGAAGCCTTGTGCATCTGAATCCTGCAACTGCACCTCTAGTACTGCGAATATCCGTGCACTTACCTTCCGAACCTTTCCATTCTCTGCCCTTTGAAGCATGCTCAGTGAGACAGAACTCCACAGTGGCAACTTGCCCTTAAGCCCCATCATGGTGGCAACTGTCAGCCATGCAGAAAGTGCTCAGAAGAGTCCTCCCTTCTCTAAGGGACATGATGTCACAGGGAGCAGAGGGAGGTATTGGTCCAGACTGTGCTCTGACAGTGCTAACCAACACAGCCAGCAGTAACCAGAGACATTCAGGAGTCCTGGAGTACCCTGTTCCCACATAGCCAGTAAGAGCTGGCAGCCTGCTCACAGAGTGACTAGCCGAAAACAGACTGGGAGCGCACTAGTCCTCAGGAATTATTGGATGATTCTGATCATTTGCATTATACTTTGCTATAAATCAGAGGATTTGGGGCTTACCTAAATGTGGCCAAAATAAGAGTGGTGAAGTTAGAAATACCAAGGTTCCTCCATAAGAAAGGTATTTTATATTTTATGCTCCTGTAATATTGGCGATGTTTCTTAACACATGCTGTACTACTAGAATCATCAGGAGCCACACTAAATCAACTGAAACACACACATGCACACACATGCACACACACAGGTGCACACATACATATTTTAGTTGAGATAAGATTCACATGCATAAAACTCAATATGTCTTTCTTTTGTAGATAATATGCTTTTCACAGCAGGTTTAGTTGATACCAAAATTGAGTGGAAAGTATAGATTTCTCAAACATCGCTCCCCGTGGTACGAACATTGCCTCCACAGTGATGCATCTGTCACCCCTGTCACCTGCCTAGACACATCTCTACCCAGCCCTTGGAGAAACTCACTTCTCACTTTGTAGATGTTTATATCCCAGGTTTGTCTAGCATCCTGTCACACAGAAGCTTCCCGACCTTGACATACATCTCTATGTGCTCTACCAACCAACACTCCTTGTCCTTACCCCCTGGTATTGTCACTGATATTTTCACTGTCCCCACAGTTTTGCCTTTTTAAGAATATTTTATATTGCAATCATACCATAGGTCATCCTTTCATTAGTTGTGTGTACTTTTTCTTTCCTTAGTTGTGTGTATTTAAATTTCCTGCAAGTTTAAAAAAATTATTTATTTATTTTTATCCATGGTCTGAGCTTTTTCTTTGTAACACTGAGTAGTATCCCACTGTCTGAAGGCCTGTGGCTATTATTCATTAACCTACAGAAGGGGCTGTTCATTGCTTCCAAGATCTTGCAATTCTGAATAAAGGAGCTCTCAGCTCCCAGGTGCAGGCAAAGGTTTTGAAGTCATTGGAACAAAAACAAGATTTTATGGCAA